AAATTGTTTCCATTTTTTAAGGAAACGTTTTTAAAGATCACATTTAGGTTCAAAATCGTAGAGTTGGAATTTAATTCCGATGACCAGAGAAATCCTTATAGCACAACCATATAAAATTTATAATTTACTGAAGCATTACAATTTGTATATGTTATAAGATGCATGACACAGGGACTTTATTACTAAATCACTATGCCATCAAATAAAACCTTTATTTACTTCAGAACAAAATTATACTGAGAAATTTAGCTATATTATGATGTAATATGTTATACAGTACAGGAGTTTAGTGTGATTTTCAATAAAGAATACAAATTTAAAAACTTTTGTCTTATGATTTATGCCCGTCAGCATTATACACTTTTATCTATTTTTTTTATTAGGGTCTAACAAATGATATTTTCTTTTTATTAGCGTCTAACAAACGATATTTTTTTTTTTTTAACAAAATTATTTCTTTTTATTAGCGTCTAACAAATGAACAAATGATATTTTTTTATTAGGGTCTAACAAATGATATTTTTCTTTTATTAGCGTCTAACAAATGTTCTAACAAATGTAAGGTCTAACAAATTTTTTTATTAGGGTCTAACAAATGATATTCTTTTTTATTAGGTTCTAACAAATGATATTTTTTTATTAGGGTCTAACAAATGATTTTTTTTATTAGGGTCTAACAAATGATTTTCTTTTATTAGGGTCTAACAAATGATTTTTTTATTAGGGTCTAACAAATGATATAACAAATCTTATTCTCTGAGTAAGATAAAATGAATCGAACATGTAAGCAACGATGAGGTTTTGGTGAGGATGCAAACAAGGAGGAAGCTTATACATAACATCAAAAGAGGCAGCTGAATTTTCTGGGACATGTAATGAGAAAGGATGGCTTGAAGAATCTGATACTCATAAGGCGACTAGAAGGAAAGAGAGACAAGGGAAAGAAACGCGTGACATACCTAGCGCGCTTAAGCAACTCTATGACAGAAAAGGGTTTGGGAGAAGTAACAAAAGGACAAAACATATTGAGAACTACAAGGGCTAGGAGGAAGTGGAAAGCCATGATCTCCTACTTCCTGAAGAGACAAGGCACGTAAAAGAAGAAGCACCTTTTTTTTTGTAATATTTTACAGTTTTTCAGCACAGATGGAATCCAGTAAAAAAAAAAAAAACGTATATCTTGCTTGTGGTAATCCATAATTAGAATATTTGTTTTAATATATTTCCAATTCAATGAATATTTTTTTAATCATTTCACCCCAAGCAAGGAGAGAGTGTCACTACCACGCAAGGGGTTACAGAGAGGGAGAGCAAGACTAAAGAGGGGTGTTTGAGGAAAGAATATAGAGAAGGACGAGATTCAGAATCAAAGCATCAGAAGATGTCGATTGACATTACACTTGAATATTTGAAGATTATAGCTATCAGGGAAGCAAATAAAACGAAGGGAGTTCCACTGTCGGGAAGTGTGAGAGAAGCTGTTGGAGTAGAAGAGGCGGTACACATTTTACTGTTTCGATAGTGAAAGGCTGGGACCGAAACGCCAACCTAGTAGCACGCATAAATTCACGTAGTTGTGGTAGCAGTGAAAGTAGTACGTTAGAGCAGTTGCCATGAAAATATTTGTAGAAAAGACAGAAAGAAGCCACAGTACGTCTGTGAGATAGTGACTGCAGACGAGATGCCAGATCAGGACCTATTACATTGCATATCTGTGTTTGGATTTTGTCGAGGATTCTCGAGATGAATAGCAGGCACCTGACCATATATGACAACAGTATTCAATGCAAGGACCAATAGTAGATTTGTAGATTTGAAAGACGGAAACGGGCGAGAAAAAAAACCTTCTTCTGGCGCGATACAGAGAAACGCATTTTCTAGCGGTAGCTGAAGCTATTGTTAAGAATCGGCTCACATTGTAGTTTGAATATGTGATAAGATGCATGTCTATCTTGCACCCTAATACAAAAGATATTAGATTTATTTGGATTTGTTTTTGCAATAGTAACATTTTGAAATAAGCAAAAACCTGCAGAAATTATTAGGTTGGTGCAAAAATAATGTCGTTTTTTGACGTTAAGTTGAACGTCAAAAAACGATATTATTTTGCACCAACCTAATAGATTTTTTTTTTCATTTTTTCAGAAAATCGTGAAAAAAAAAACAACTAAATTTTCAAGAAATGTTAAGAGCTATGGATTTGATTTTTGCTGTCAGTACTTATCATATCAGACCCTAACTTTCACCCCCGAGCGCAATGTCGATTTTCTAAAAAAGAAGTGAAAAATCAACCCAAGTCTAACATATTTTATTAGATAATTGCAAATGTGCGTATCCAATAAAAAAAAATTACATATTCACAAAAAAAATAGTTATTAGTCAAGTTCATAGTATCCATTGTTTTTTTAATAATTGTCTCACATCGATTTATCAGTTTGTTGATGTCATTTTCGTAGAAAATACTTGTTTTCTGTTGGAAGAAGTTTGTGTGGTAGTTTTCGATTGTACAGGGCCAATATTTTGGTCATTTAAATTGTTCTGTAGAGACCGGAACAAATGAAAATTCGAAGGAGCCAAGTCAGGAGAATATGTCGGGTGCTGGAGGGTTTCCCATTTCAACTCAGCTTCTGCGAGGTCGGTTTTTCATCATGTGGTCTTTCGTTGTCGTGGTAGAAAATGGCAATTTTCGATTTGCCAAAATCGGCCGTTTTCCTTGAACCTACGTGTCTCTTCAAATGTCGAAAGGCAGTTGAGATATCGATTTTCAAACTATCAGTAATCTATTCCGTCGAAATCTTCGGTTTGCGCTCGACGGTGGCAAGCAGAGTGTTTTTATCGAGTGTCTTCATCCGGAAGGTCGCCCGGAGCGTGGTTGAACGTTTAGGTTAAAAGCACCCTGACAAAATCTGCCAAATCACTTTTTGACTATCCGAAGAGATGGAGAACGATCCAAATAAACCTACCGAATGTTTCTTTTTCTGTTTCTTTTCTTTTTTTCGCAGTTCTATCGCTTACAACTTTGCGAAATTCATAGAGCACAATATTGTGGTAAGGCAATATTTCATCCTCCATCTTTAAGGCATTTGTTGTCAAAACAAAAGCTTACCAGCAAGAGAACGGTACAAGTTTTCAATCAAGAACACACAAGAAATCGGTAAAAAAATAAACGCCACTTGCAGTCATTTTATATTTACCAAGGAAATCGAGTACGGATGTTTGCAATGATCTGACAACCCCACGCGTTTGAACCGGTGTAAAAAAATAAACATACTTATATACCGTGTATAAAACGGCCTAGCGTAAATTAGTTATGTCGGATTACCTCCTCCTAATTTTCGAAACCGCTACTAGGCGGACGTTCTCTGGACTATAAATATTCTGCGATATTTTTCTCACACTCTTCACACCTTATCCACTTATCCGTCAACATGTAACCTCTCGCGGAAAACGCATGAACAATATACACACACACGTAATCACCTTTCACTCACTACACATACTTTGGACCAAAACCGTTTTTACAATTTTTTCTTACACAGATTAACGTCTTTGTCGCTTGTATACCTTTGTTGTTAATACATTGTCATTTGTTTGTACATATATATTGTTCTTCTTATTTCTTTACATTTATTTATCTGGACTCACATCCCGAGTCTACCAACTTTGTTGTGGGTATTTCAAGTGACAGCGTGCTATTTCTCAACTCAAATATCGACGTTACTAACGCCCGCAATAGCGGCGTTGATGTAAACTCTGGTCTATTAGACCAGATTTGAATTTAGAGTCGCCTTTCTCATATACGAGAAGAACATATAGATCCATGTAGTTCCATGAGTTTCTGTGCGAAAACAAACACCGTGGCCTCAACTCAAAACTCCAGCTTTTCCTGATAACAAACGCTACTTGTATTTTTCTGTTTCTTTTTCTTCACCTTGTGAAAACGCCCAAGAGCCACTGTCGGTTAAGGGTCACTGAATGAAGTAGCTCTGAAAGGGAGATAAGCAGGAAGTGCATATTATGACGACATGTAGCATAAATAAGTTGACGTTAGTCATGAAAATGTTAATATCGTAGTGGTTAGGAGAGCATCCTCACCGGAGTCGAAGACATAACTATCGAGAAAAGAAAGTCTGGCGTGGGGATGCTTCCAAAATCGGCTATGAACCGAAAATATGCCTAACATTTTTTACTCTTGTATAACCTGTGTCTTCGTTTTTGACTCTAGGATGAAACGGGTCTATGTATAACTTTTTGACGAGCGTAAACTACCACGACAGCGAAAAACCATGATGCAAGATCGACCTCGCAGAAGCTGAATTGAAATCGGAAACCCTCCAGCATCCGGCGTATTCTCCTAACTTGGCTCCTTCGTATTTTCATTTATTCGTGTCTCTACAGAACAATTTAAGTGACAAAAATATTGGTCCCGTACAGACAGTCGAAAACTACCCTACCACACACACACACACACACACACACACACACACACACACACACACACACACACACACAAACTGGATTGATGTCAGCGCCTTTCATTCTTGTGTAAAGCGGCCATATTTTTATCTTTTAGATTGGAGTGTCTACTTTTGTGACTCGGGTAAACCGGACTTATGTCTACCTTTTTGACTCGTGAGTGTACTAGTCTAGATTTATGACTAGTTTAAAACGAACATACGTATGCTTTTTTGATTTTAGTGTAGATCGGTATTATACCTACTTTCTGAACTCTCCCAACATATCTATTATCATTATGCTTTTTGTACTGCATTTTTATATTCAGCAGTAAGCGTTGATATGTAGTAAAATTAACTAACCTAGCCCACTTAATAATAGAATGTAGCAAAAGAAAATGACAGCGGGATAAAGAAGGAAAGAAATTTGTGTGCATCTGTGTTTCTGCGTGTGTGTGTGTGTGTGTGTGTGTGTGTGTGTGTGTGTGTGTGTGAGAGAGAGAGAGAGAGGAAGAAAGCAAATCTATCGTCGTTCAATGTAAATTACTAAGAGAAATCGTCTTTGGAAGTAGAAAGAGAAAGTTTTAAACATGCAAACAAAAATATAGATAGATAGATAGATAGATAGATAGTGACAGAGAAATAAGAGATAATGAACAGTGATAGATAGATATAAAAAGAGAAAGAAAAGGGACGATGGATAGGAAATGACAAAAAAATGTGACGATAGATAGATAGATAGATAGATAGATAGTGACAGAAAAAATAGATAATGAACACACAGGGATAGATAGATAGATAGATAGATAGATAGATAGATAGATAGATAGATAATGAACTGGCATGGATAGATAGATACATATATCGATAGTGAGAGAAAGATGAATGATAACAGATAATGAACAGATGGGGTAGATAGATAGATAGATAGATAAGAAAAGAGACGATAGATAGGAAAAAGCAAAGAAAAGTGAAGATAGATAGATAGGTAGATAGATAGTGACAGAGAAATAATAGATAAATAACAGCTAGGGATATATATATATATATATATATATATATATATATATAGATAGATAGATAGATAGATAGATAGGAAAAGATAAAGAAAAGTGACGATAGATAGATAGATAGATAGATAGATAGATAGATAGATAGGAAGGAAGGAAGGAAGGAAGGAAGGAAAAGACAAAGAAAATTGAAGAAAAATAGATATATAGATGGATATATATGATGAGAGAAAGTGAGCTAGTGTGATACATAGGTAAGTACAGTGTAACCCGGATATAAGAGAGTTGTCGGGACCGGAGAAGAAATCTCTTATATCCGGGTTTCTCTTATATCCGGGTTTGGTCTATTTTGTTTACATTAACACAGGCTCTAATTTGGAACCAGAGAAAATCTCTTATATCCGGGTTTCTCTTATATCCGGGTTTCTCTTATATCCGGGTTTGGTCTATTTTGTTTACATTAACAGGCTCTAATTTGGAACCAGAAAATCTCTCTTATATCCGGGTTTCTCTTATATCCGGGTTTGGTCTATTTTGTTTACATTAACACAGGCTCTAATTTGGAACCAGAGAAAATCTCTCTTATATCCGGGTTTCTCTTATATCCGGGTTTGGTCTATTTTGTTTACATTAACACAGGCTCTAATTTGGAACCAGAGAAAATCTCTTATATCCGGGTTTCTCTTATATCCGGGTTTGGTCTATTTTGTTTACATTAACACAGGCTCTAATTTGGGACCAGAAAATCTCTCTTATATCCGGGTTTCTCTTATATCCGGGTTTGGTCTATTTTGTTTACATTAACACAGGCTCTAATTTGGGACCAGAGAAAATCTCTCTTATATCCGGGTTTCTCTTATATCCGGGTTTGGTCTATTTTGTTTACATTAACACAGGCTCTAATTTGGAACCAGAGAAAATCTCTCTTATATCCGGGTTTCTCTTATATCCGGGTTTGGTCTATTTTGTTTACATTAACACAGGCTCTAATTTGGAACCAGAGAAAATCTCTCTTATATCCGGTTTTCTCTTATATCCGGGTCTCTTATATCCGGGTTACACTGTACAGTAAGTTACGTGTAAATATGACTATTCACTGCTATGCGATGGCGTTTAACGTTTGGTAAATAACGCACCCAAATAGATGTCTGGAAAAACACAAGCAAACGCCATTATTACAAATGAAAGCGGATGCATGTGCAGCATCATTCGGGGTATGAGATAAAACGGGGCTCGACATATCTACGTAGCACCCACACTCACACACACACACACACACACACACACACACACACTCACACAGACACACACACGTTTTGTACGCAATGGAAGTGATGCGGGCCCATATTGACGTAATCATATTTGAGTATTAACATACATATACTTAAATGCATGTAGCGTGAAGTACAATCCATTCTTGCCAGGCACAAACACGCATGCGCAAACATTTGTCTCTGCGAAAGATTGTTTAGTGAACAGGATGAGAGAATTAGTTTGATTCGCAGGAGGCGGAAATAACATCACTCTAGTTTATTTGAAGAACGCATTTCAGAGAAAATAGTGAATCCTCTATGCGCCATGTCCCTTCATTTCTATCTCTTAATAAATGTTCACTTTTTCTAATCTCTTCTAAACCCATTTCCGCCATCCATTTACATAAGCTCATTAGATAGATTATTATAGATGCATTCTTTGCTTCTGTCCTTCTTACATCGCTTATGCCCTGTGAGTATCAGATTTTCCAAGCCCTCATTCCTCATTATTATGCCCTAGAAATTTCAACTGTCTATATCTGACGTTAAGTTTAAGTGTCCTTTTTGTTTCCATTTTATCTAAAACTTCGTCATTGCTCACATGTTTGGTGCATGGTATTCTCAGCATCCTTCTGTTTCCTCAAGTCTTCTTCTTCTTCATCTGTGAGGAGATTGTCCAACATTCACTGCCCTATAGGGGTCTGATATTACATAACGGTTTACTACGTTTTTTTTTGTTGCTAATGAAATTCCCGTTTCTTATATTTTGCTTAGCTCTCCTAAGGCGACTTCGGATTTCGGCGTTGCCCTTTCCGTCATCTGTTAAAATATTTCCCAGATATTTAAATGGTTCTGCTTGACTGATACTGGCATCTCCAATTTGTAATTTCCCTGTTGGGCTGTACCTTTTGCTAACAAATAATCATTTTGTCTGATTACAATTTATGTATAGTCCTTTCTTCTCGCTTTTCTTCACTACCTTCTGTAGGAGCTTTTGTAATTTTCTTTCTGTGTTTGCTATCAGCACTGTGTCATCTGCATATCTTATGTTGTTACGATTGTGGACATCTGTCCTAAACCACACTATCTGGTGCTTGTCACAGAGCAATACTTAGCTTTGTGATGTCAACGGGCACTCGCTGCCATTTTTGTAATGTCATCGAATACACGTTGTCATTTTTGTAATGCTCGTTGTAGTAGAGACTTTGTAATCGCAGTTACAAACTATAGTAACGCCGTTGAACAATACTGGTGTCAGACGCCTTCGAATAACACTCGCACTAATAGTACTTGCTCGATAATACTCGCTCGAATAGTAACCAACGAATAGAGATCCAAATAAAAAAATAGTATATTGAATAGAGTAGAGAATAGCAGGCCCTATAGTAATAGAGGGTAGAATAGAAATAACAATCAATTAGATATCACGTGGCTTCCTACATACATACGCTTCCTCTATGGTCACGTGGTCTACTTAACAATGGGAACGCCTGGCGATCTATGTTCAAATTCTAGTGTCGGCAGCGACATTTTATTCCTATATAACGCTTAGCAAGGATGCGTTGTAAGTCCAGGACACTCAGTTGTTGCGACCTTTTGACAGATTATGCAAATTACTTTGCTGGGGGTTGATGCATGCCGTTGATTGAAGATTGGGTGGTATAGATTTGTTGGCGTTTACCTGACAAAACTAATGCTATCGTAATTCGTTTGTTTCGCACAACGTGAAGGACACTTACCGTCTGGCGGGTGATGTCATGGACAACAGTAAATTCTGTTGAACCCACTACACTATTAGTTTGGAGCATTACAATCTTAATACTTTAATTTTCACATTTCAACCTTGTAGTGAATATAGCTATGATTACTTTATTTTCACGAAATACATTTGATAAACACGCATGAGTAGAAAAGGCAATTTTTAGACTGAGGGATCTGTATATAGAAAAAAAATGTGTTACACCAGTCCTTCAAGTATCAGAGAAAATCGGAAACTGATATATTGTTTTTTTCTTATATTTGTTTTACTTAGCTTAGTACGAAAAAAAAAACTATCTATATTTCTGAGATGAGGTATTATGTACATTATTTACATTATTCGGACTATTGTCCTCATCTTTGTCAATATATTTATTACAACATTTCTGCCGTTGTACGCTCCAGCCTTCTTCAGGTAGTTGGAATGCCGAACTGAACCCTTTATTTCGCTCACTGAGGTAGACTGTTCTAGTTCCACATGCCATGTTTGATGGATGTCTGTTATCAGTTATCTCCTGTTAATTTCCCTCTGAAAGTTCTCCACTGCCTTAACTGGGTATTGAACTCACACTCTTTGGGTCCTGTCACTGGATCTAACCAACGCCTTTATCCACTGTGCCATGTGTCCTTGAGCGAAATAAAGGGTTCAGTTCGATATTCCAACCACCTGAAGAAGGCTGGAGCGTACAAAGGCCGAAACGTTGTAATAAATATGCTGCCAAAGATGAGGACAATAGTCCGCATAATATAAATAATGTAATGGAAAAAAAACTAGTTGAAAAGAATTTTGAGTAGGAAGATTATGTTGCGCCATTTATCCAGTTGTCTTCAGAGAAAATCATCATTCGAAATCTTTTATTTTTCCCGGTGTATCTACACTGGAGATGATAGAATTTCAGGGAAAATCAGAAATTTATATATTGGTTTTTCTTATATTTACTCAGCTCAGTACTGGAAATGATTAGTTATGAGAATTTGGGATGGGAAGACTGTGTTCCGCCATTTCTCCAGATCTCTTCTGAATCTTTTATTTTAACCGTGTAACTACACTGACAATTTTCACCGGCTATATGAACTTCCAATCTGGTCTGGATGTAAGAAGAAGAAGAAGAAGAAGAAGAAGAAGAGCAACAACAACAACAACAACAACCTGGAGCGGGTTAGCAAGAAGGGGAACGTAGGTGTCTTTCGTGTTTATAGATGTAATGTCAGGCTGTGGAAATGACTTGAAAATATGCCACGCATCGAAGCCGTTTCAAAGACAGCCATGACGTCTTTTCCCCCTTTCCTCTGACTCTGTTTCCATCCTTCTTCCAATAGTTCATAAAACCAATAGACAAATCAATGATTCCAAAATGAGGAGGTCGTCTACAATTCATGCTCTAAAGAACGAGCCTTTACGATGCCGAAGGAGGCTGGGTGGTGGCTGCCTGGTATGAAGAGAATCGCATCGTGTCCAGAAAAATAACTTCAGCTCAACTCACACTGAATAAAGCTTAATTTTCAATAAACGAATACAGTTACAAACACACACAAAAATATATATATATATATATATATATATATATATATATATATATATATAAATGAACTTTCCATAAATGAACTGTGTGTGTGTGTATATATATATATATATATTTGTGTATGTACATTGTTCTTTACGATAACATAGAAACAAAGAATGACACTAGAGTGAATAACATTCAGCATTTATAGTAAACATCAATTAAATATTTTCAGCTATTATATATTACAGACAATTTCTTAGGGTCAGCGACCATCTTGTGCCATGATATAAACTGGTCTCCAGACTGTATATGAAGTCAGCGCGGCAGGGACACGGCATAGTTGAGAATAGGGCTTCCTAGGCTATAATCAACGCCCACAAGGCAGATTGTTCCCCCGATTGAATCAATGGATAGGTGTCCATGACCAAGTCGAGCCTTCAAGTTTGAGGACGTCCGCTGTGGTTTGATTTGGCGACAGATTGATTCAAACTGTCCATGATACACTACACATAATTAGATAACTCTCTGGTTTTCTTATGGTGGAACACACCTATTCTATAGTTAATAGACTCTCCCACCTATAATAAGTAAGAGTAGTAAGAGTAACGTGGGAGTCGGTTGGTCAGTCAGTGAGTCGATGTCGGACGACAGTTAATCGAATACGAAAGTGTCAGCGACCACAACCAGATTACTCTGCGTAATACCTATTATATGAAGTT